CCCTGACGGTGCGGAGAAGCTTTTATGCCAAAATACAATACACAAAGGGATCATAAACACGTTTGAAAAGGAAGATGACCTCTTTGTCACTTGGAATTAGGCTTTATTGCAAGCTGCTGCCATGGAAACCATCCCCAGCTCTCTCCATATTTTAAGGCTTCCTGTTTCCATTTTACATGGACTTCAGCACCTTTATTTAATCCTTTCTACATCAAATAAGATAGGTGAAAGGTTTTGGTTCTTTGCTCCATTGTTTAACGTCTCCACGTATGCCTTTAGTTATGGAGCAAAAAGGAATGTTAGTGAAATCGAGGATTTGAGTGCAGATGGAAACAAAGAGAAGGTGATAATGGAATTATTAGAAAGAAATGGAGACAAACACTGGTGACACAACCTGCTGTACAATTCGACAAGATCTATCAGAGAAGATATACACTCCGTATTGAATCTTTAAAAAGCCAGCTGCAGTCCAAACAGGCTACTCTAGGAGATGCGTCCTTTGGAAATAACTTTAACATGTTGCCTCTTGCTTTCTTGCATGGCTGGACTTCCATGTGCAGTAAGTAGAGTCTACCAGGTTACACGAATCTAAACAGCTGCCCCCAAAGTCGAGCCTTAAAAATATGTTTCCATTGGGAAGAACTGTGGATCCCTGGTTCTTTTATTTCCTAAGAAATATATAACTTTTGTTTTGTAAGAAAGTGAATATGCAGAAAACCGAATGCTTACATAGTTACAGCCTTGAAAAGTAAAAGCAAAGATAACCGAGTAAAAAGAGAATTGACGATGAGCTAACTACCGCTGAAGCTCTGCGATCCAAAAACTGCTGGGACATCTGAAGAATGGCCCGGGGTCAGTTCGGTGAGATGCGGGGCTGAGGAGGAGAAGGAGTGGGACCGTGGGCGCGCAGGTGTTTCAAGGATCCTCCTCCTTTCCCCCTTCCATCTCTGATTCCATCTCCAATTTGGATCCCGGGAGACCGAGCATCTCTCACGCGGTTGACACCTTTACAGGCTGGAGCGCGAAGCCGGCGCCTGTCCGGGTGATCAGGGAGGCCTGGCCTTTCACGCGGTGTTCTCAGTCAGTAATCCAAGTTGGCATTTCCCCCTTCGCGCTCTGAGCAGCTGGAGAAGCAGAGAATGCGAGCGAAAGCAGACAGAACCACCCCATCTCCCCTCCCCCGACCCTGGCACCGAGAGGGGGAAAAAAGTCATTTGTTGTAACGCACACACCATCAGGATTCTTTCCCACTCCATCCTCCCGACTCACGCCACCTTGCAGGGAAATAATAGGTCCGGCCACACTGGCTTTCGCGTTCTGCTTTCCGGATGACTGAATTTCTTTGCTCGCCTCTCCTGTCGGGGACCATCTGAAACTGCCTCCAAGCTGCGTTCCCAGGGAACCCCCCAACCCCCACTCATTTCACTCGGGGACTAAAGAGCGACTCACTTCAACGTCCTCCGTAAAATGAACCCCATCTCGGCTGGAAAAATCAAACCGGGGAAGGAAAAACGCGTGGGGGGCGAGGAGAACCGCTCCTGCAGACCTGGCCCCTCCTTGGCCCAGGGGGACCCCTGCCGGTGCCCACTCGGAGCCACGTGGGGCGGCCCCAAGAAAGATGCACCATCCCCCAAACCAAGCGCTTTGGAAAAGAAACTGCAGAGAACAAGAACAATAAGAAGCACGGAGGGCGGGGGTGGGGGGGTGGGGGGCATGTCTGTGGGGTGATGAGAAAGCTAGCCTTTCATCCCTCCTTTTTTGGACATTCCTTAAGTTTAATCATTAAAGTGGTCCTTAAAAAACAAGCCAGCAGCTTAACGCTGCTATTTCTGACAATCTGCCCCACACACTGTCAGCGAAGTGAAAGATCTGAATCTAGCTTTGTTGCTTCGCTACCAATAGCAGACTTGGGGAGACCAAACCTCCGATTTCTGGCCACATCAAAGCACTGATTATGCAAATTCCCATTTTTTTTAAGAATAAAAGAAAATGGAGGGGGAATTATTTATCACACAATGAACCCCCTGTCAGGGCAGGAAACAATAGATCAGACCAGATAGCACTTCTAGCCCCAGGCTGGGGGAGCGAGAAAGGGGGGTATTGGAGCCCTCACGTTTTATTGGTCTAACCTAATTTCACTAATTCTCTTTTCACACATTTATTTTGCGGATTCGGAGGCCGGGACTTTCACGCTCCCGGGAGCGCCCTGCATTGGCGCGATTCAAGAGCTGCCCACTTTATTTAATTAATACATTCAAAGCTCGCTTGGGAGCCCGAGGGGACTCGGGGGAGACCGAGGCTGGCGGTGAGGAGGAGGCGCTTTTAACCGGTTCCAGGTGTCGGTGCCCAGAAGTCACAACCGGCCCAAGGGTGTGCAATGCAGGGGGGTGTACCCAGCGGGTGGGAGCGCCGAAGCTCTCAGCCTCGCCCTCAAGCCAGGCCCTTTAGCAGCCTGTGACCCAGACTGGCTGGTGAGCAGCTGAAGCCGGCCTTGGGCCTAAACGCCCTTCCTGGGCCATAGGACTAGGCTTTGGGAAGTGCCGAATGGGCACTTCCTCCCTCCTGGCCAAAGCCGCCCAGGGCCTTCGCCTCAGCTGGGACACCTGGGGAGCCCATCCAGTTCTGGTCCAGGTGCGGCGGGCCCGGGAAGCCTCAGCACCTCCTCCTGCCTCCAGCTGAGCCTAGGTCCGGCTCCCGTGGCAGTTCCAGAGGTTGGCAGTCCGCCTGCCTACCTTTTTTTCTCCTTCTTGGCGCTCAGATGGATGTATTTAAAATCTAGTGGAGGCAAAATGAGCTTTAACAAGGCCTAAGCACTTTAGAACAAATAAATACAGCCAATCCCGGAACTCTGGCCGCGCTAAAGCGACGCTCCAATGAGAACAGGACCCACCTTCGCGCCTCTCCGCACTTAGGAACGTGCCGCAGCGCACTAACTGGCGTTGGAAAGATCTAGCAACACTGGGAGTCTGTGACTGTCACCAGAAGAAAATCTCCACAGCGTTGGTTGAAGTGTCTCTCATCAGAGCCACCAGAAATAAAATGGCGTGGCTCCGAGGCCTGCAAACCTACTTGGTGCACACAGATGCAGCTCATCACAGTGCGGTCACAGCGTCGGGAGGGAAATGAATCAAACGGAAAAACGACCTTGTTGCCTCCCGCAGAAGCAGCGGCTTCGACCCTCTAATTGTACTCATTCCTACTAGGAAGGGAAAAGAACGGCTGGGCCTCAGGCCACAGGCTGTGAAGGTTGCACCGGGTTAGGGGAGAGAATCTCGGCGCTGAGGCAGTCAGTACATCATTCTTACCCGCTTAAGATGATTAGACGCCATAAAAAATAATTGCACCAATTTAGAGTAAAATAAAGTGTGTTCTAGATAGGGAAGGGAAAGCCTGAGTGTGAATTGCAAATGGTAGATGAAAGCCCTGGCATTTAGGATGTGTCTGCCTGTGTGTACATGGAGACCTCCAAGCTCCAGTTTTGAGAACTTGAACAAGACTCTGGACTTGGAAGAAGTGTCTAGAGTCGGCTAGGTCAAGAGTGAAGTCTGTATTAGTTGTATGAGCCTTGCTCAGAGCTAGGATTATTGAATCATCTATCCATCCCTGCCTCTCCAACTGAGCCCTTAGGGTCATCTTTTTATGGGATGGCTTCATCAATTGAGAAGGTTTCCCATAGTCGCAGGAGTAGCTGCATCTGAGATTTTGTCATGAACTATTTCTTTGGCAAGTTTCCAAAAGAAACACCATGTGTCATCAAATGTATCGCCAGAAGATGCGTTGTTCAGCACCAAAACTGATGTTTTCAAACTATCATATTACAGTTCGTTCGCTTGCTGGCTTGGCTTTTTAAACACTAGAAACATAAACGTGAATATACGAGAAATGTCACTTTCTCCCTATGTCAGACATTCAAAGAGCAGCTAAGAGTAACACAATCTTTAAATTAAAAGGGATTTACCAAAAGGTCTCTCATGCTTGGCTATAAAAATGAAACCAAAACCCTGAGTTAGTTCTGCCTTTGATTAAAATGGAGTTATTAGAGAGGAGTAGTTTCAGATAGACACCTCAGGAGAAATTATTATTGCATTGTGCAGAAGAGTGGAGTATTTAACCCAAATCAGATGCAGGTAAGATATTCATGGGGAGGGGGATGCTGTGAGCAACCAAGATTTATTGTGATCTTTTTTAGCTTGTGTTACCATAGACACTCTTCCCCAAGGGGATTAAACCTAGAATGTGGTCAACCTTCATTTGGTCATTTTTGACCCAAAGCCAATCAAAGATCATTCATTTCTGCTTTGGAGATTGAGGTGCAAGTTAAACCATTTTTGCTTTCTCTTTGAAGAAGTTTTGACTATGTAATAACTTTAACAAATATTGGAAAGTGGAGCTATTTCTTTATATGTTTTCAATTCCAGTTCATTCTAAATGTCTGCTTTATTCTGGGAGCCTGCTTTTAAAAGCAACTAACTTGTTAAAATGCCTAATAGGAAATCTTCTAATAATGAATTTATACATACTGTTACATCACAGATGTTAGAGCTGGAAAGGCAGCACCCTTGGAGGTCACATCCCATCCCTTCAGTTTACAGATGAGAATTGAAGCCAAACAAATTGTACAAAAACCAAATTTCCACACACTCCGCCAAGAAATTTCAACTTCACTTTTTTTCAAATCAAGGTTTTCGGAACTTTGGAGCTTATCATGACTTAATTATCATTTAAATTCTTCTCCCCTTTTTTGCTTGTTTGCTCAGAAATTTATTTCTTAAAAATAAATTGTGTGCTTGTCTTAAAAATAGAGTTACACTCATTTCAATATTAGTGTCTCAAATATGATTCAGTTTTTTGTGATTTCTTAATGAAATTCTACACAAAGCATTGCCAAAAAATACAAGTACTACATTCAATTTGACATGGGGAGAATTTCAAAAACACACAACTCATTCGGCATCCAACAATCACATAAGCAAGAAAAAGTTAGAATACAACACACAAACTTATGAAAATTAGATACTTTATTTATAGTTTAATCACAAGAACAACTTTCTTGTTCTTCAATACGTAAATACATACTAGAATAAACTCTGTAGAATATACAAAAAAATACATATTTTCCCATGAAAAATTTCTTTATAATAAATAGAAGGGAACACGTGTGTGGCTGATCCGGATAATGCTCCGTGTCTGCTTAGGTTTTCAGACTGTTGATTTATTTTTAATCTCTTGAAAGAATGGGGGAGTTCCTTCTTCCCTAAAAGGTCGAGATAAATAATGCATGAAGCAATCCTCCCTCCTGATTTTTCCCTTTTCCTCCACATTTTTCCTTTTGATAGAGAGTTCAGCCTAAATTTCCACGCTTGCATTCAATCATTACAAAGCCTACAAATTATACAATGACTTCTAACCTGCCCCTCTAACAAAACAAGTTTTTTCCCCCTTATAAATCATAAGAGACAGATGGCAAAATAGGGAAGAAAAAGGAAAGAGAAGGACGGGACAATAGGCATTGTGACGAATCTGGGAAACAGAACAAAGTGCACATCAGAGAGGGAAAGTTTGGTTTGACAGGTGAAATTCCCACAGCCTGCAGACAGCAATGGGAATAAAGCAGATGCCAGCCATTGCAAATCTGTGGATAATATTATTACCAGTAAAATCATTCAGATGCTAAGATACATTTCTTTCTACTCGACATTAACATCTCTATGTAGAAGCAAAGGTGAAGAGATCACAGGAACCAGTTGCATTCTCCCTGTGAGATTCACACGAACTGCACCAAGTCCTCCGGCGTTACAGAGAAAGGGGAGGAGCGTCAGTCCGCTCTGCAAACTGTTTAGATATGCCACCATCATCTCTTCCCAGCGTCTTTTTCGTCTCAAGAAGCGCCCCCCAAAACGTCACCCTTGGCTTTGACAATAAGCTCCATCACACCTTCAATAAATCAGAGCCCGTCTGAACGAAGGATACACAAAGCCAAGAAATGCAAGAAACAACCGGGGAATCAGAACGGCTACACCTGCCCTGTGAAGTGAGAAGGTTTCCAGGGCATAGAAGGGAGTGGGCAGGGTAAGGGAGGAGGGCTTGACTGGGGACAGGAAAGGGAACCCACTAAGGCCTGACGTGGGTAGCAGAAACGGCAGCTCTAGATACAATCCCTGGCTATGGGGAGGTGAGGTGCATAGCGGTGCTTGTCGGGAGGTGGGGACTGCCAATAGTCCATGTCTGACCCGGCCGGGCTGGCGGGCGATAAAGTGCAGCTGTAGGGGGAGGTGGAGTTGGAGGACGCGGAGGAGGACGGCGCGGGGCTGTTGGTGCAACTCCACGTGGAGGCGGGCGAGGGGCTGTCTCCGCTGCTGCTCAGGGTGGCGCTGGCGCCTCCCGGGCTCAGCAACACTGCCTCGGAGAAGAGCGCCCCCGGCAGGCCTCCGCCGCCGCCCCCGCAGTGATCCGCCAGGCGCAGGGTCTCGGTGAGCGCCCAGATGTAGTTATGGGCGAAGCGCAGGGTCTCGATCTTGGTGAGCTTGGCGTCCTCGGGGAACGTGGGGAGCACCTCGCGCAGCGCGTCCAGTGCCGCGTTGAGGTTGTGCATGCGGTTTCGCTCGCGGTTGTTGGCCTTCAGTCTACGGGTCTTCTTGATGCGCTGCACGGTCTCGGCGGTCTTGGCGCCTCGGGAGATGGCCCGCGCCCGAGAGGGGCGCCGTTTGCAATCGTGCACCAGACCCAGCAGCCGTGCGGGCCGGCAGCCCTCCGCACCCGCAGCCGCGCCGCCCCGCGCCCCCTGCCCGGCCTCAGCCCCGCGCTGCCGACGCGCCCCGCCTGACGCGCCCGGCTCCTCCTCCTCTTCTTCGTCGGCGCTGGATGACAGCGGGGTCAGGGCCGCCAAGGCGGGGGAGGCCGAACCGAGCAGCACCAACACGTCCTCTTCCTCCTTCAACTCCAAGGTCTCGGATTTGACGAACATCCTACCAAAGAGAGAGGGGAAGGAGAAAAAGGCAGTGAGGCGTAAGGAAAGAAACAGAGGCGCGATCTTCGTGTCACAGGGGCGTGCTCGGGCGCGCACCCGAGAAGACCAGCTCCGAATGGCGCGGGTAAAGAAACCCGGGCCAAGGTCAGGAGCGCCGCTAGCTCTCGCTGTGATCCTGCAGCCAGTCAGCCAGGTCCTGCTCTCCGCGGGCCGACCTGCGTTCCCGCCGAGAAGGGACTGCGGCCTCCGAGACAAAGATTCTGCGCGGACCAGAGGGCGTGCAGGCGTGGTTGGACTGAGTGCGGGGAAGCCACCTGCGAAGTTGGAAGCCGTGGCTTGAATACTTACTTAGTTGGCTCTAACTGTGCCTCAGCGTTGCTGTGACTTTGGCGTGTGCCGGGAATCTCAGTGCAGCCGCGAGCGCAGCGCCGCGTCCTTCACCGGGGGTGAAAGCTGCAGGCCTGGCGCTACTGTGGCGCAGCTCCGCGGGGGACCTCTGCGACCGGCGAGTTTGCCAAGAGCCCCGGCGGCGGCGGCGGCGGCGGCGGCGGCCCGCCCGGGTCTTGTGTGTTGTGGTGGTGGTGCGTGTCTGTCTGTCAGTCAGTCCCTGGCCGTGCGGCTCCTGGCACGCGACTCCCAGGCACTCCAGTTAAAGCGAAGCTGCTTGTGGTTCAGTGGCTGCGTGTCTGGCACACGACTCTCCTTAAAACCCCTTATATACCACCAAGAAAACAATCAGATCTGCCCCGGGCCCCCCCTTCCCCGCCACCGCCTCCTCCTCCTGTCAGTCCTGCCCCCCTTCTCCCCCGCTTTTCCCTCCCCTGGCTTATTCTTTTCATTGCATTATCATCATTCATTTCTTTCTCTTTCTTCACTGCGTTTCCCCCTCCCTTGGCCCTGCCATCCATCCTCCTCCTCCCACCACCCCCGCCTCTCTTTTCCCCCTTTATCTAATCAGCATAAAATGGTTCTAAAGCTCCTGTTGGAGCTCCAGGCTGCGGCCGGAGCTGGCGAAGCCGCAGCGGCCGCAGAGGCTCAAGCTGCGGCTGTTGTCGCCGCCGCTGTCCATTGTGATTGGTGGCTCGCGCTCGGCTGGAGCGTGCCGCTAATTTATTAATGAATGGAGGTCGCGAGGCGCAGCTGGCCAATCAGGGCGCCCCGGACTCCGGGAGGCCTGCGAGCCACGCGCACCGGAGCCCGCTCCCTTTCAGCGGCTCATTAGGGGCCCGAGCGCTGGGGGCGGATGGGGGGACCCGTGCTACCGCCCCCGCCTTCGTCCTCGCTGCCGCCGAGGCTCCCCCCGCCCGGCGCGCGCGCAGGCACCGCACCCGGCGCTGCCGGCCCTCCTAGCTCCTGGGTGATGGGAACTAGGAATTAGTTAATGGGGGTCAGAATCCCGGGGAAAGCAGTTAGCCCTGTGGTGCTGCCGGGCGTCTCTTGGCAAAGCCTCTTAGGGGCTGTATCAAATAGTAAACGATTTTAAAAAGGATTCATTTGGTTAGGAGAGGAGAAGGGCGTGGATGGCGAGCTGTGGATGCCTCGTGGACAAGTGTGTTTGGGGTCCGTCGAAACTGGCGTGCGAGAGTGAAGGGAGAGGACACTGGGGATTCAAACAGGCGTCTCCTGGGAGGGGAGGTCCGATAGTGTAGCAGTTGATGAGCTTTTAGAGGATGTGAGAATAAAACCACTCACTTGTTAGAGCTGAAAGGATCCCCCTCGTTTTACATACGGCAAACTGAGGCTCCCGGCACTGATACAGGTTTTGCGGGGGTTTACCCAGTTCATAGCCTGGAGGGACAGCAAGGAGGCTTCCCGCGTGGGTGGCAGCGAACCGAACTGGAGGAGCGGCAGAGCTGCTGCTCCTACAAGCAAATGCGCTGCGCTGACATTTCCGTGACCTCTGCTCCGCGCTGGGGGGCGTTGTAGGGACAAGGGGCCCATCTTCCCAATTCTTCTGTTTTTCAATAAGAAAAAAGAGCTGAAGGGCGACTGGACCTCGGAGGAAACTTGTTCTGAATTGCTCGTCAGCCCTCCCCACTTTCCCCACGTTCATGCCCACCCTTTTGTCCACGTGGGGATGGATCCGGACTTCAGTAGACTGGAGTGGGGTCCCTTGAGATCCCCTTTGCAAATTAACTTTAGGCAAGGCACAGTTGGAGTGTTAGGAGTGGAAGAGTAGAAGAGAAAGAGAATACTGTCTTCTGGTTTCTGTCTCCCTCAGTTTGTAGGACTTAGAAACAAACTGTATTCCAAAGATGGGGTGGTTAAATTGGCTGTTAGTATTTTGGCATGGCTTTAATTTGTTTAATGTTTTCTTCAGGGAGATAACAAGGAGGACTGGAAGGCACAAAGTAAAGAAAATGAAAATTAGAAACCTGTGAAAAGGAGCATTACCCATTGCAGTTCTTCAACCTTCTGACTTCCCTCTATCTTGGAATTATTTGAAAACTATCATGATTTCCACTTTGCTCTTTGATGTTTGTGTTTTCACGTTCTCCCTTTTTAAAGCAAATTCCCAAAATATAAAAGCGTCATTTGCCAGTTTCCGCCTCAATTATTTTAGAACAGCTTAATTTCACGTGTTAGAAGTGCAGAAATTAAAAGAAAAGGGAGACACTTTCAGTGTTTCTAGCACACAGCACCTGCGTCTCACACATCTTTGGGTTTCTGTCTCTGTATCATGAACCTTCAGAATCAGAACTTCATAAAAAGTTTGACCAAGCACAAATTGTGCTAGAAGTGCTTTCCTTTGTTGCTGTACACATGAGCATTAATTTATAGGCAATTATCACTGATACCAAACAAGCAAATACTCTTCTCATAGTCCCCCTAAAAGAAAACCTGCCAAGGGTGTGGACTTGTCTAGCCCAGTAGGGACCGAAGGAACATGTGGGAGCAGACACAGAATTTTTGTTTGTTTGTAAATTTGAATAAAATAAAAGGACAGGAAAGCTAGGTTCTGAGAAAATGATCAAAGACTTTTAAAAACAAATACCAATGAATGATAGGAGGAACCTTGGTTTTTCAGTCTTTAGATATCTATATCGCTTCACAGGAGTTGCAAAGAAATACAAGCCAAAATAGATTAATGTAATGAAAACAAAGGAAGATTTATTTTAGTGTCAGTGGAGATACCTGTCTTTGGACAGTTTGCTTTAAACTTTTGGTTTAGCTAGGGAGTGCTGGGTTGATTTAATGATAAAATATATTTGGGGGAAGAACAGAATTGGAATCTAGTTAAGTAGAGACTTAAAGGGAAACTTGGTGAGCCTCGTATAACCCCAAATAACAATGAGATCAAGCTGGGTCTGATGCTTAGTGCCAGTGAAACACACAATGGATTTCTTTAGTTGATTGTTAACAGTATTTGAACATCTGACTCTCCAGTTTTTATATTCTCCCAGGATTTTATGTTTTTATGACTCACTGAAAGGGTACATGTTTTCCTTTGACAAAATCCAAATCTTCTATACTGTCTGTGAGTGATAAGTTAATAATGCATATTTAGGTATATCCTATACAGATGCTTAGTAATGGTAAAATTGTATTAAGGTAAACTGCACGCTTCATATTCTGGAAGTTTCCTGCAAAAGGAAAAACCATTCCAACGATGGCAAGAAACTTAGGATTGTGTACATATTCAAACATTGCTATAAATCAATTTCTAATCATTAAATGTAAAGACATCATCGGGTTTATAGAATTTTATTTTTTTAAACGAGGGCTTCTTTGGGCATATGCGGTGATGTATGTCCAATTACTATAAAAAATACATCTGTAAATGAGAACACGTGGACACAGGGAGGGGAACATCACATAGGAGACTTGTCGGGGGTGGGGCTCGGGGGCGAGGGGAGGGAGAGCATTAGGACCAATACCTAATGCATGCGGGGACTTAAAACCTAGGTTATAGGCCGGGCGCGGTGGCTCACGCCTGTAATCCTAGCACTTTAGGAGGCCGAGGCGGGCGGATTACGAGGTCAGGAGATCGAGACCATCCTGGCTATTACAGTGAAACCCTGTCTTACTAAAGAATACAAAAAATTAGCTGGGCGTAGAGGCGAGCGCCTATAGTCCCAGCTACTCGGGAGGCTGAGGCAGGAGAATGATGTGAACCCAGGAGGCGGAGGTTGCAGTGAGCCGAGATTGCGCCACTGCACTCCAGCCTGGGCGACAGAGCAAGACTCCGTCTCAAAAAAAAAAAAAAAAACCTAGATTATAGGTTGATACTTGCAGCAAAGCACTATAGCACATGTTGAAACAAACCTGCACATTCTGCACATGTATATCCCAGAAAGTAAAATGTAAAAAAAAAAAAAAAGTATACAACAATTTTTAAAAGTACATCTGTAAAAAACAAAAACGCCCTCTATATATCCTGGAACTCTTAAGATTCTTGGTTGTGTGTTTGTACTGTAGCCTTCAAGAGCTGATTCACACTTGATCACAAAGCATTTCTGAAAATATTTCTTACTGTGAAAAATATCATTTTTAAAAAGAAGACAAACACCCAAGGACAACCTCATGCAATCCAAAGACCAACCGTTCCTACTCACAGTTGCCTAGATAGCAGAATTGTATTTGTTCAGCATTTTGCTTAGTTTTGCCGGAAAAAGAAAGCAATTTCCATTTGTACTCAGCTTTGCGAAGGCATAACTAATGCCAAATATCCTTAGCTGTACTCTTCTAGCACTCTTTTAACTTAAATAAATTCAAGAGGCACTTGTGTGGTCTAAAAGATTGTCCAGATGAAACGAGGCTGAAATGTTATGTGAAGGGGGAGGGGAGTGAGTGAATAGCATCAGCCAGGATGGTGACCGAGGGCCGCTCCTGTCCATTGCATGAACTGTCCTAAGGGGTCAAACTGTTCATCTTCAGCCCTTCTTTCAGTGCAGAATCCTACTTTAAGAGAACAAAAGCTCAAAGCAGGCAGTTATCAAGAAATGGGAGCACAATGATTTAAACTCATCCCCAAACCTCAGAAAGGGGGCTGAGTGCGTGCAGTGAGAGAAAAGTGGAGTAAGGGGAGGGGATCTTTAGAAAGTCTTTGTTGCTTCTAAGAAGCTTGAACTTTTGAGACGACCCAAAAGCCCTAAAGTTTAGGGTAGGTGTTG